ACAAAAACGAAATATACAATTTATTTTTAACAAAAAAGATAAGAATTTAAAATATTAGTTCATCATGTTATTTATTTTATAAAAAAAACTGAGTCAATTATAAATAAAACTTTTAATAGTTTAAAAAATAAGTTAATCACGTATAATTTGTTTTGAAACTTTATAAATATATATTTTTGTTGTTTAAATTGGTTTTAAAATGCTGGATTGACAATTACCTGATATTTTAAAATTATAACGCTATAATTTTATAAATATTTGGTTTGTATTAAAATAATACCAACTTATTTAATTTTTGTAATAGTTAAATTGGTAAAAAAGTTTTGAGTAAAGGAATTTTATGAAGTATAGAAAATAATAAAGTACATTATTGATTTCAAATAAGAAATGTGTAGTTATAAAAAATAATTATGTGATTTTAAAATAGTTGCTCATAAAATCACCTCTGGATATTTTTCGTTTGAAAAAAATTATTAATAGCTCCTACACAAAAACAATCTAATGATTATATCATATACCTATGTGATACAAGAAAAAAAACAATGTTAAGATCAATTTTCCAAAGAGAGAAATGTCCTAAACAAATTATGAACAAAAATGTAATCACTGTCCGAATTGGACAGAGATTGCATTTTTAGTTATATTATTAAATAAATGTTTAACCTTGCGTCATCTTAATGAAAAAATAAAATCACTCAATATGAGATTAAATCTCTTTTCAAATTACAAAATATTATTCGATAGCAAATTTCTTATTTACTATACTTACTAGACATTCATGCTGAAATCTTCTGTACTCTTTAATATTATGCCAATTCAGTCGTTTCCACACATTGCATTTAGGATACTAATTACTATCACAAGACCCTTGGTTCCTATAAAACCTTATATTTAATATTAGTTTAAAGGTAAAAATTACCACAGAACTATTTCAAATAACATAAATGTTTTCACCAACACGTAACTTACACTACTTATTTCTCTTATATCCACCATCAATTTTCCATAAAACTTATCACCCTGACTAAAACGCAAAATATGGTGGTATAAGCAGAGATCTATTAATTTAATAGAGAACTGTTAATAATGGGTAATTTTTCATTTCCATACCATATATTAATAAATTGTTATATATTAACTTGTTATCATATAAGTTACGCCGATTGTAATTTTTTTTTGCTTTAACTTAAAATATATAGATACCATAATATATACTGTACATCAATTTATGTATAACAGTAATGTACGAGTAGTTGTTTAAAAAGTAAAATAGTAATTTAAGAAAAACTTAAAACAATTAAAATATAGAATGATTAATAGTTAAGTACCTATTTACTCGAAAATAAATGAGAAGTTTAAGCCAGTTAGATTTAAATTCTAGAACATAAAAACAAAAACACACAGGGAAACATTTATTGTCTTTATTCTTCATCACAGACGTAAGAAAACATTAACAAAACAGAAAATAGGTAGTTTCCTGTTTCATAAATCTTTTTTAATTTATAAATAACTTTTTTTATCATTATAAACTAACTGACAAACCCAGCTTTGCCCGAAAAAATGATATAAATATCAATAAAAATATAAATTCACATTAAGAAAAAAACTATATTAAAAATCTAAATTAAATAAACAAATATAGATAAATTATTTTTAGTTTAATTAGAGTAGGTAGCTCCATTGGGAGCTCTTCTACATCGCGCCTCTTTCACGATATGTAAACCACCTACATCATTAATACTTGTTGTGCAAAATTTTGTATAATTGTATATTTCTTTTACCTAATAAAAAAAAAAAAAAAAAAGAAAAGTTTAATTAGTAAATACAATAAAACCTCTATAAATATCAGACACTCTCGGTAGCTAAAATTTTGTTCACTTTTCTCTACAGTTGCTGTTAATCTTAATACCTACTCATTAGTTATTAATGTAACTAGGTACTATAAAACTTTGTGTGAATAATTATACTTATATTTACTGATGTAAGTATTTCATTAGTCACACGCCTTGGAATTTTTGGTTGATCACCAATATCTACAATTAATCACTCCAATTGTATCTATAACAATGTCTTTGTTTTCTTGTATGTATATACCTAGGTATGTACGACATTAGAAGCATCAAATTATTAAATAAATTTAAATTATAAAAGACTTGTACTTAGGTTATGCATTATGTAATTAAAATATTAAGTCTATCTCTACAACGGCTAGTTTTGTTGTTAAATTTTGTTGGTTCATAATCATTTTACAGCCATTCCCTGTTATTTAGTGTGCTGCTTTGTCTAATTTAATCATACGCAATTTTCAATGGAATATATAAACATATAATTTTTCCCCACCTATCAAAATTAAGCATATTATATGTATATTTTTTATTTAATTGAATCGGTATAATAATTTTTAACTTGAACTTAATCAATATAAATAAATGGAAATTACAATTATAAAATCATTAAATTTTTAAAAATAAAATATAAGTATAAATTTATTTTTAATATGTGTGTGTGTGTGTGTGTGTGTGTGTGTGTGTGTGTGTGTGTGTCTATTTTTATTATATACTTATCAAATAAATCATACAATTTTTAGTAAAAAAATATTAAAAAGATACAAAAAATACAACTTTTTGCATAATATGGATTAATATCTTCACCCATTTATAAAAACAAAATATAATTCCTTATTTACCAAAAACTACCTTCACATAAATTAACAAACTACCCAAATAATTTAAAATATTAAATGAGCACATAACAACAAAGGTAAATTAACTCAACCTAACTCCGTCAACTTAAACCATAATTTTTCCGCCACCAAGTGTTTTCTTATTCTGAAAAGAGTATAGATGACCAAAAAGAGCATGTATAAATAGATAAATACATATAAAACATACCCTTAGATCATATACATTATCTATTGTCTAAGTATATATCTAAAAAATTGAGATATTATCGACATTTGATTTGAAACTGTATCAACCAAAATACTAAGAAATAATTAAACGAATAATATGAGTATTAAGTTAATCAAAATTTTGAAACCCAATACCCAGTATAAAGTATACATACATTTTAAGTAAATAAAAAATGTATTAAGTCCATTTAAAATAATTTAATGTTCTGATCAACATAATAAATTCATCGTAATCTGAACCAAAGATTATGAGTCATGATAACACAAATAAGATTAAAAGCTTATACAAGTTTTACTTGATTATATTTGATATTAAAAAAAAAAATATGAATAACAAATTGTATTTTTAAGTAGACCTCATAATTGAAAAAACTCGGGCATAATCTAAATAAGTGATTTAATACTCGTGATGATGTATACCGATTTTATTTTGAAGGAAAAAATATTGGTTATGCACTTCTAAAAGTTTCTTTTTTGATTAGACAAACAATTCTTATTTATTCGTAAAATTTCAATTGATCTTTTATTTAATTATGTATTCAATTATTAAAAGCATTGTGTTTTAACAGGCTTGATTAAATTTGTGCAATAAAATCATAAAAAATGTACTTAACTTAATTTTATAAATATTATTAATGAATTCTCTATTATATATAAAGACCATTGTTTCAAATAAAAACAATGTTATTCACAATAGTATAATTTATTTTTAGCAATTAAAATTGTATTACAATATCTAAAATCCAAATCATTAATCGTATTAGTCGTCATTATGTATTTTGTTAAAAAAATAGCATGTTTAATTTTTGATTACTACGATTAAATAAAAATTCTACAATTAAAAAATAAATTTAAATTCAATATATCTTATAAGAATAGAAAGATTTTATATAATATAATCGTAGCGTATTAAAGTTTTAAAGATTAAAATATAATAACATAACATAAGTAACCCCAAATAGAAAGTTTGAGGAAAACCAAACACTATACTCGCATAACTAAGTTACGTAGGTATTCATATTAGTTATGCAGAAAACTTGATAAATTACTGTATTATTTAGTAGGTATAATATTAGATCACAGTTAATAGTCAGGGAAAATCAGAATTATTTTCAAACAAACCTTTTAATATTAATTAACTTTTATTCTTGCATTATGGCTTCTAAATAAAATGTAATATTAAAATTTAAAGTTATGTTTGTAGTTTTGAACTACAAAATGTTACCCCGTTTAAGTCTAATGATATATAAAATAAACAAAACCATTAAATTAATTTCTGTTTGAGAAATAGTTTTCTATTTTTTATATAGTTAATAAAATTCATAAGTTTTTAAAGATGGTTCAAAAACAAAATAAATATATAAAGAGATATTACAGCAAGTATTAAAATATTTTATTTCTCCATTGTCTTTTTTAATTTATTTGTAAATTTACATAATATATGTATAATAATTTTTAACTGATACTTGTATGGTAATTATTTTTTCGAAGTTATGATAAGTATATACAAAGGAATGTTTTCTAAAAATAGTTAAAAGCTACAATTTTTGGTTTACACATCTTATCCACAAATCATTAATTCAAACAAAACAATTTAATACAGGTTGTGTTTTTAAGTTGTACTCTTTCACCGAGTGCTTATATTTAAAATTTAAAATAATTATTGAATAACATATAAAATTTAAAATTTAGGTTATAATAAAAGACTAAAATGTCACGGAACAAATAAAAAGAAAGTATAGTGTTAATGGTTATTTATTTTAATTGCATGATCAATTTTCTATGATACTCACCATATTTAATTTCTAAATATTTCAAATATACTTTAAATAATTTCTCTTTTATTAATATACTAGATAAAAAAATTATTTCAAAAAATTGTACATACCGATTACAAATATATCGCAGTTAAAATAATCTTATTCATCTAAAGTTTAGATTCTAAACCATAAAATTAAGTTAATAACACACTGTATTATTTAGATATCAATATTTATTACTTGTGAAATTGTCTGATCTGTAAATTGTAAATTTTTGATTGGAATTTTTCGTTGTTTATAAGTACTTATTATATGAACTTTAATTATGTTTAAAATATGTCCGATGGCAATGTTAATAGGTTACCAAATATTGAATTACCAATAAATGAGGTTTCACCAGGTTGTTGTTGCATCGTGTTCATTAATTTCTACAAACACACATAAGATAAAAAATTTAAAAAAATATTCCTTATTTTTTGTATATAAACAAAATTGATCCCCCGACACTCAATTAAACAGATTGTATGGAGACAACATGAATTTACTCTCCCGAGACGACTTTTTAACTCAACAAACCGACGAGGCATTTATGTTTTAATTCGAATTCGATTTACAATTAATTTATAATTGTTTGCAATTGTTTAAAAAACGATTTCATCAGATTGAGAAGCCAACGTGTATCGTATACAGCACTTTATATCTATTGATTTTTATCGTTAAATATAATATAACAAAGAATTAAATATTAATTGAAATTACATTGTTTTAAACACAGTAATTGATCGTTGAAATTTTACAATACAATTTTTATTTGTTTTATCTATTGTTCTGCAAATTGTTTCAAACGTTAAACATTTTTTAATTAAAACTTTTAACTTATACTTTTTAAATTTAAAACATTTTATAAAATCAGTTCCAAAATATAATAAATTATCCAAGCCCTGAGTTGTTATGATCATGTCATAGTTCCTCTGTCAATTGGCTCTTGACCAAAATATACAAAATTGATTGGGTTGACGGTCCGAAAAAACACGTCGATGATTAAAAATAAAAACATAACACGTGGTATTAGGGTTGAAATCTCCGACCTTTTATGTCATGTGTAACCTAACGTATGTGAAAACTGAACAATTGCGATTTTATAAATTTAATATCAACACATTTCTATTTGAATCAATGGACGTACAATTTAAGAAAATAATCCGTCCATGTCAACTATCTAGAATATATATTAATATTATAATTTATAAAAATTTATGTTATACGTGTTATTTTACCTGTATCACTTGGATAACGAATACACCAAACATTAAAAATGACATAGTCATTATTGAACGTTCAAATGTCGGTTCTAAGATCACGGAAGAAAGCGATGGGTTCTTTTTATCCTCTTGTTTCTTCTTGTAATTTAATAAACTCGGCAGTTCAATTGAGTTACGACGACGTCGACAATTAAGTTTGCTATTGAAAAATGTTCGTTGCAGTAAATTTAACAAATAATCTATAGAAAAAAATAATTAAGTAATAGCATATAAAGTTACTGTAGAAAAGTATAAAACACTTATTACGTGTCTGATATTTATAAAAACACAAAATGTTAGCATATATTACCATCTAGTATACATATATTAGTTTAAATGTTAGACAGTTTTAAATTTATGTGATTGTGTATTTACAAAAAAAAAAATAATAATAATAAATAGTACGTAATACAATATCTGGAAAAATTCCAAATTCTCGTGTCAAAACACCAAATTCGGAAATTAATGGAGTAATAAAATTCATATTGAGTTCGTTACAATGCTTTATTTCAAAATATTAAACTTTATTTTACCAAAAGGCAATATTTAAACAGTGTTCAATAGTGCGTATAATGTATGTATAGTTTTAACGGGTAGTGTTTCAGTACGGTATTAAGATCTAGGATAGTACAGTTGAAAATTCATTCAAACCATTTCAAATAGAATGAAATAAAATAAAGTCTATCTAGGTAAATATTATAATATAGTTTAGACTACAATACAAAATTATTGTAAACTTAATGTTCTACCGATCAAATTAATATAAAAAACATTTGTTATTTTATAGCTGTGAACAATTTAAATAATTGGTTTAATACCACAGTAAAATAATATAAAAATTCATGTTCTTGTAAAATATTCCTATATTCCGAGGATTCTACTCATGGGTATCCCATACATTTTTCTAAGGGGAGAGGGGGAGTCAAAATTAATTTAAAAAATAAATGAAGATATTTTTGTAATACATTTTATTTATTGTACATTATTATGTTTCGTCATTATTACATTTAGGTATTGTTATTATACATTTTATTTATAGAACGTTATTTTTCGTCATCATTACATTAAATTATTGCAATTGGATAACAAATTCAAAATTCTAGAGGGGGGAAGTGCCTTCGTTCTCCTCCCACCGGAACGCTCATGAATTCCTACGTTTTCCAACTCAATGAATATGAAAATAAAAATAAATGATTTATACACAACGTCTAAAAATAAAAACTAATTAGACAAAATATGCTCTTACACACTTAAATATAAAAAAGTTATTATTACAATTCTAAAATGAATGCTTAAATCGTAAATAAGGATGTATTGCCAAATAGCTATCATTATAGTTTAAATATCATAATAGTTCAATTTTAACTATTAATATTGATTTTGCTATTATTATTATTAATAGTTTAATTTTCTAAGTTAACTATCCATCTCTGGTACAAACTATGCTTAAAAGAGATAAATCAAATCATAAACCTATATTAATAAATTTACGATATACTTTTTCTACTTTTTAATTTAAAAAAATAAAATAAGCTCGAAATAATCTATTGTTGCCTACCAATTAGTAAAGATAACTCATGAAAATATGAAGTAATAAAAATTTAAATACCTACTTTTAAAACCCATATAAATATCTCCTTTGATGTACATACAAATAACAAAATATCTACCGAATACATTAAAATATTTATGACATTAAAACATTATATTAATATGTATATCGTACCTAAATAAGGTTGAAAATAATTTATATATTTTTAGTATTTTACAAAATCATAATAAATGTTTGCAAGTAATTTTTTCAATAAACCTCTCTCGTGAATAAAACATATTTATTGACTATATTATACCTATGCTTATTATTCATAATTCATCAATTTATCTCTAAAATAACTATTTTGTAATCATAGTATATATTATTTACAATAATACTGTAGTTAACATCATAATATTCCTCAACTTATTTAAAGTTCTATTTAAAGCTCTATTTATATTCTTAAACACAAAAACATTTTTTTTTTTATTTATACAGTATTATATTATAAGACGCATTCACTCTAAATTATTATACTATTATTATAGTACATAAACATTCTAAAACCGTCAAACTTACATATCTTTTCGTACAATTGATTCCGGGCATTCAACAGGTATCCGAGCATCACTTTGGTCACGGCGAACGGACGTTTTTGATTTTTAAGTTGGTCTCTCACATCATTAATATCGTCTTTGCTGTCTTCGGAAGCAGCTCCATTAACTTCTTCATTCAAAACTGTGACTTCTTCATCGTACATTGATTGGTCTTCGTCATTATCAACGTTATAATCGACCGCGACGTCACGATCATCGTTGTCATCTTCGACAACCACGTCTACATCTCCTTTTTCGTCTACGTCTACTCCTTCTTCTACGTATATTTCTTCTTCTACATCCTCTTCGCTGGTTTTATTATCGGAGTGTTTAATAGTCGAATCACTATCCTGTCTGATAGTCATCACCTCTGGGGATTTTTCTGCGGTGTTAGTGTTGCGACTACCGTCTAGTGTGATTTTCACATATTCCGCTGAATCGTCTTCTTCACGCCAACTTTTTGAAACATCAGTGTTGTCTTTAGAATTATCTTTTAGATCATCATTTCTTACGTGAATCCCACACGGCATCGTTACGTTCATTAGTGAACTTCCATTACTCGTCAACGTACACAAACGAACCCATTGATCACTTCCAAAACCACCGACACCGAAATCTTGCGTAATACAAAACAACAGTGCGGATAACAATAGCGATTTCGCCACGACTATGTGGATCGTTTTCGATAACTGAGATGATAGGCAAAAAGATGACATCGCGTATATTGTCACTGCTAAGAATGCGTGAATGTAGCCGGATCGTGTGCTGGATAGTTGTTAAAGTTTACGGAAGAATTAAGACGGAGATAACGACAGGAATTAAAAATCTGTCCCAATTACCGTCATTTCAAGAAAAAAACACAGTAATAATTATAGTTCAACCAAACCACACGGAACGTGTCAAACTGCAGCACAAATCATAACCGCAAAGCATTCCGTGTAAGTACACCGTTGTATTAATTACGAACAACTCGCGGACGGTTGCACAAGCTCATGGTCATTTGTATTATAATACAGCTGTAATTTTAGGTTGAAACACTCATTACCACAGACAGTTATTTTTTGATCGATAGAAAACAATGTCTTATCATTATACTTTTTCAAAACAGTAAAGACGCATTTTTACCTATTTATAAAAATAATATCATATCAAATATCGAACTAACAGATTTTCACTAATGATAATTTAAAATTTTCAAATGAAATCAATTTCAAATAGTAATCTAAACTATCTAAGATGTTGTTTTATATCAACTTTAAATGCTAACCTTATGTAAAAAATAATAATAATAATTTGTTCAACACTTCATATATTATTTGGCCACCACCAATTTTATAAAATTATTCTACTGAGTCTTTTCTTTCAAAAAAAAAAAAACATATTTTCCTTCGGATAACAAAATCAAAAATATTATTTGTCAGAAAAATGTTTTTTTTTAATTTTTAAAACCCAATATCTTATTTATTTAAAAATACACTATTTCATCGTTTAAATAACACTAATAATTTGCTAAAATTATGAGCGATTTTCATCAGATAAAATATACACTCCAAATAGTATACTTCATGATTATAAATTTATTTTACATGGGCTTATGTTATAGGCGTTTACGTGAATTTAAACAAACATAATTACTTATTGGTAAGTATGTATATTATATTGTAATACACACTGTACTCGAAACGCGAGGATGATATACTATTATTTGATCGGGATTAATACTTTGTCTACAGTATGCATAACATGCAAAGTAATTTACTGTTTTTCCTCTAGTTATTATTTATAGCTGTGCGCCGTAATTTATCGTGAATTGGAGATTATCCAGTAATATTTAGTAAATAAATTATTAACTATATTATATTAAGGTAAATCTGAATTACTAGGTAAAATTATTGACCGACTAATTTCACATTAGAGTATTTAAAAATAAAATCAGACTCCATAATAAATTTAAAAAAAAAAACTATAGAAAAGTATAGATATACAAGACAATTAAACAATAAATACATAAATTACATAAAACCATCAAATAAACAACTTTGTTCTCAAATCTAATAAACTTGAGATTTTTGCTAGTGGTAAAGACAGAGTTTCAATGTTTTAAACAACTTAATGGTTGATTGTAAGTTTTTTCTGTAGTTAATATACTAGGTATTTTTGGCTTTTAATTTCTGTAAATGCAAAGAAAAAAGTACTTTAAAAGAGTTTTGTTTACTGAGTCGTTCTTAGATATAAAAATAAATTATATTAATAATATTTTCTCTACTGCCCGATGACATTAAGGTGAGCAAAACGAGAAGACTTATTTAAATTCATTCAGCTTTTAAATAAAATCATAATGATAATTAATAAATAACTAAAATACCTTGTCTAAAATAAATTTTGAAAGTATCATGATATTTTATTTTTAAACTCAAATAATCATTAATTCATAAATTACATGTAAGGCAAACTAATCAGTTTGTAACTGATACTATAACTGCATTAAATTGAAAATCGATAAGCGTCATTGTGTAATTTTTAGTTATGTGAAACAATAAATTTTTTTAACTATAAAAATGCTATTATAAACTTTATCGTGCGTATTACAATAAAAGCAGTTTTACAATCGTTATAACTCATACAACAGTAAATACTTAGAAAGTTTTATTTATAACTGGACGACTTGTTTTAATTATTCAATAGTTATACTGGTTGAAGTCATAATAATATAACAATTAATACATTTATGAGTTATGATAAACTTTGCTATTTTTATGTAATTCTCCTTAATTGATCAAATAATTATTTACAGTAAAACTACAATCAAAACCAATCCATTGATATTATAAAAGAATCATTTGTATTATTTGAAATTAGATAAACAACGAATAACTATCTTAATTTGTGTAACATAAAAATTATCGATATTTCTCAAATATTTATATTGAATATATCGTATATATAATTTTACATATAACAATATTTTTGTAGGAAAAAATTTTCAATCGTTTTTTAATAAAAAATAATAGTTTTAGTAAATGAAGTTATTTTATTAGTACTAAATAAACTTGGTTTTACTGAGTATAAAAAGTTATAGTCCAAAATGAAATAAAAAAAAAAAGTAACATTAATATTTTCATTCATACTGTTTGATAACTTTAGGTAATACTTAAAATTAAAAAATGTTCAGAAGAATTAAGTATAATTATAAGTGATATGCTTTAGCACTGTTAGATTTGTAATAAGAACTTCATTTTTGAACCCATCAACTTTCATTGTTTTTTAATAAATTTTAAATATTATCCTGTTGTATCGCCTACTCTATATATTTCCATTTATAAATATTTCAGTAAAATAAATTATGATTATATAAATAATTGATATTTAAACACAAAATTCAAAAATTTTCAAAAATCCAATTCTAGTCATTATTCATTTCGATATTTTATAAAAAAAAAAAAATGTATTATCATCTGTTCAAATCTTTATCTCTTGATCACGAAACAGTCAGCGAGGATAACAAATTTTCATTCGTTACTTTCCATTTAGTATTAATAAAAAATAAATATTCCCATTACTATTATTTGTTCTCTAATTATTTAATCCCTAAATTATATCAACTAAAATTAAATACAAATTATATAATTTAAGATATGTTATGGGTTTTGTTTTGATAGCCTATTTTCTATATTTTTGTATGTTTGCAAATTTGCTCTTGTTCCTATAATTACTTTTCTTTTATTTTTTATGACTTATTAAGTAATGTCTCCTATCCATCTTTTGTGCCTGTATATTTATTAAATCGATTTTTTAATGATATATAAATAGATAAATCACAAACTTCAAATTACCATTCTATCAATTCTTTTTTAATCTTTATCATTCTCAAATTATTTTCTAACATCATTAATTCTAAACTAGCTCCGCATTTCAAATTTTTTTTTTTTTGTCCCACGATAATATAGTTTTTGCCAAAACTACTATCGTTAATCATGAATTTAATATCCTTTAAACAATTCATTTTAAACTCCTGTAATAATAATTGATAAACTGGTGCCATATAAATTGACTTCATAAAAAATTGTTTTGTCTCGTCCAAGTAAAAGATCTTAAAATATTCTTCTAGTCCATTGTTTTATTCATACTACATGTATTATAATTTATAAATAAAAAAAATTCTCTTTCCTCAGATAGCATGCAAATGTAATTACTCTAGTTTTAACGTTCCATTTAGGTACATTAAAATATCTTTACACGTCATCTATTATACGTCCAAAAACTGGAATAAACTTAAATTTTACTAACAAATAAGACATTAAAAATCAAGACCTCTCTTACAAGTTCATAATTAATTTTAAGATTTTTACGTTTCTAGTATAAAATATGTAGAGCTCTTCATTCTGATTACTGCGATATTATAAGTTTACTTTTTTATATCTTACCCCTAGAAAAAAAAACTTAAGCTATTAAACTTAAAATTTCTTTAGAAATTATTAAACAATATATTACAGGTTGAACTAATTGAATATTTAAATTTCAGAATAAACTCTCATAACTCTAGACATAAACTGCTTTTCTTTCTACTAAATATATGTTATTCTCTCCATTCAACAATTGAATGTCTTTAGGAAACTCTATAAAAAATGAAGATTTATTTCAATCTCCACTTAAAGATAATTCTACTTGTACTCGTATTCACTGATTTTTATTTTTATGTTCATTATATACGATGTATGTACATGTTTCTTGATTTATACCTTTTAAATATTTATATAACTGTCCTGTATATTTAATGTTAACCAAATGCACTTTAAAATAATATTATTCGTTAATTAATAATTAATAATTAATACATTAAATACTATTGGTCCTCTTCTGGCTATAAAAATATTATGCGAGTAGGTATGTGTGTTTGCTTTTCCACGCTGAATCACCAGTCGGTGTATTCATAAAAAATGTATGTGTACTTTGACACGAAAGTACCCACTAATTTATTATGTTTTATTAAAATGTGTTTGTTGTTTAAATTAATAAGTACGAGTATAATATATAACAAACCCTACAAATTTTTTGAATCTTATCTAAAAAATATAGAACAACTAGTTCATATTTGTAATACACTAAGTGACGAATCACTAATGGAGTTCCTTGAAGCAGGTCCTATTTCCTACCTTATATTATATTATAATGTATGCAGCAGAACTAGATAGTTTAAATGTAAATATACACGGAAAATTATTTTCATATGTTGATGACACAGCCCTAATCCCCTAATCACATCCAAAACTAGTTAGGTAAAGATTTTTAATACGCAAAGTCTAATATGTTTATTATCAACGAATAGTTTTTTAAACACAATTTAAAGGTAATTAAAACAAAAATAAATTCATAACTTTTACACAAAATAAAAGAACTCAATCGCTAACTTAGGAAATTAAAATACATAAATCAAACTATAAAACTAAAACTGAAAATAACTTGTGTGGTATAATTTAAAAAAAAAAACAGATAATATTAAATATCTAGACGTCATCATATTTGACCAACATATAAAATGGAACAATCAAATTCAAAATGTAATAATAATAAATTCAAGAACTCAATCACTTTTGTATCAATGCTAAAAAGTATTAGATAAACCAATGCTACGTGTGATGGTTTATTTCGGAATGACTCAATCTATCTTACAATATGGCATTACTGCTTGGGGCGAACTAAGAATAGTAACATAAAA